GGGATAAAGTGTAGCACTATGAAGCTCTCCTCAGCCAGTTTAGCTGGAATTCAATTCCCAGCTGGGGAGTGACCTACAGGATGCAGCAGACCTCTCTTGACCCATCCACTGCTCCCCTCAGCAGTGTTTCAGGCCATCTGTCTGTTCTGTTCCCCACTCTGTCTCTGGTGAATCCTCTCACTTCCCACACCTCTGGCCTGTACTCCAGTTCTTATACGCACAAATAAATAAATCTTAAAAAAAAATCCCAGGCCCTGACATGAAAAGAGCATAAGTGTTTGGGAGCACACAATTATGCATGTATTTGTGAGGTATGATCTTTTAAAGGTAGGATAACAGACCCAATACTCACTTAACAATTATATGCATTATTTATGCAAGACCTTACTTAAAATCCTATAAATAGAGTAACTACCAATGATTAAGTAAAACCACTAAATATTATTAGATTCTAATCATCATGGTCCTCCTCCTCCTCATCATCATCATATAGCAGTGTGAACCTCAAGAGTTCATAGGTTAGTAGCTTTCACCTTCTTCCTGCCAACAACTTAATGCAAGTGTTTCTTTCCAAGAAGTGATTCAGTCAACCCGGCAAAAAAGAAGAGATCTGCATACCTGGTCATGGATGAGTCCATGATAGAGGATACTCTGCATGTCCCTGCAAAGCCGCTCCAGGCCACCATACTTGGACCAGACGTTTGGGCTGTTGACTGACACCAAACCCTCCACAGTTGTCTTCAAATTACCCAGCAACTGCCAGTGCTCCCTCCTGCAAGTACATCAATTATACTGATAGTCAGTTGACTTTGTTGTACCTACTTCTGATCATATCAGAGAAAGTCGAGCCAAGAAGCCTCATGCCCACATCCTAACATTTTCTCCCCTGTTAAATTTTACTTGGGCATAAGATCCAATTTTGAGAAAATTAACATTGGAAAGAACACTAATATTTTTTAAAATAAATTCTCACATTTACATAGCATATTAAACTTTGTAAGATGATCTTCACCTACTATCATATCAGTTAGTCCTTACCTAAGTAGCACGTTTCTAGGTGTGTGATCCATTACACCCTATGTTTAACCCGATGCGATCCATTAAACCCTAAGTTTCTAGGTGTGCAACCCATTAAAATCCACTTCTGAAATATGACAGTACATAGACAATACATAAAAAGCATCTGCTCAAAACCGGAAATCTTTTGCCAAACAAAAAAGCCAAAAATGACTTTTACTCACTATATTTTCAGGCACCAAGTACGTATACTTGCACACAAGTAGTATGGAAAAGAATACAAACTGCTTATGATTTCCACCCCCCTGATTTTTAAAGCTAAATCTGAAACAAAACAGTCTTACGTTTGCACTGAGCCACTATTGGTTATGTCCCTAAATCAGTCAGCTACTGGCTTACTCTCCTAGATGATCTGAAACACTTCAATGGAAAATTTTAATATTGCTGCCCTTGATGATCTTCGAGGTTCCTCTCAAATCCCCAGGATTTTCTCAACAGCTTCCAACCCAATAAAAACTCAAAACCAAATTAATTTATCTGAGCAAAGAGTTGAATGCAATGAATCAAACTGGGTAAGAAAACAGAAAACTAAGGTATCAAGCTACCTTTCAGTTACGCAACTGTTAAGGGGCAACACTTCACATTCCCTTTTCATTTTTTACTAGAATACAGCTTTCTCTTTTCAAGGACCGTCATGGGTGTGGTAATAATTTCCTCAAGGAATTTACACCCAAACTATTTTATATCATTTAAATGACTATAGGAGTAAGAGGGTCATGAATTGAATTCTTTGTAATTCTATCAATACTCAAAACTAATCCCTTATACATTTTCTGGCCACTTAGAAAAACAGAAAAGTACAGTAAAGGTAAAGGCAGACAAATAGAATAAAAGAAGTTAGGGTTTGGTGTGGAGTATCATCTAAAAAGGCAAAACCAGACAAATTTCTGGTTTTCTGCTCTTGAAGGTCTTAAGACAAAGAATTCACACCAGGAGACAAATGAAATTTTTGGCTTCCCAATGCACATAAAAGTTATATTTGTACTGTACTGTAATCTATTAGGTATGCAATGGAAATGTATCTAAGAAAATGTACATAGCTTAATTAAATGTCGACAGACACAAATGAGCACATACTGTTGGAAAAATGGTATTGACAGACTTGTTCAACACAGTATTGCTACAAACATTCAACTTATAAATAAATATATTATCTGAGAATTATAACAGAACAAAACTCAATAAACAGAGGTATGCCTATATACCCAGAAGTGAATTTCTAGATCACATCACAGTTCCATTTTTAATATTTTGAGGAATCCCCATTCTGTTTCCAAGTGGCATCACCAATCTACATTTTCTACCAACAGTGCACAAGGATCCCCCTCTTCCACATCCTCACCAAAATGGATCTCTTTTCTTTTTGATGATAGCCATTTAACAGGTATCAGATGACCTCTCATTGTGGTTTTGTGTTACATTGCCCTCATGATTAGTAATGTAGAACATCTTTTTGTAAAACTGTTGGCCATACCACAATTCTATTTCTATGTCAATCCCATAAGGTATCTCAAAACAACTAAGATGCGCAAAGGACTAAAGTGATCAGTAAAATGCCATTTACTGTTATACTGTGAGAAATTGCCACAACAAAGGTAAACTGAGAGACAACTTTTCCTTTAGTGACTATTTCCTGTGCTTCCTTAGCTTAATCTGACCTGGTGTGACTGACACAAATTTTACATTCCAACAGACTGCAAACAAGTCACTAAGTCTGAAAATGAGTCTGATTCCGCAAGTGACTCTAAATTTCTGTGCTCTGATTCATTCTGTATAGATCTAAGCTCAACTGTCAAAGAACATCATAATCTTACAAAGTTAACTGTCATGATGAAATCTGAAAGTAAGTCATAACATACTAGGGGTTTGATTCTAAATTTATATGAAGTTTAATGAAATCCTAGAACCTTGAGCATTCATATCTACTACCAACTTTCAGACAAAGCTAAAAAACATAAAAAAGTGTCAAAGAGATACCAAAGCTATAATAAACTGTGACTTAATTCTAATATACACCAAGCTACGTATGTGTGGTAAACAGATCACCATAACAACTCAAATATCACTTCCTATTCTTTATCCACATTTTCAGCAAGGTCAATTTTTCCTAGGGTAAACCTGTTTGTTAATAATTATTTCAATGATATTACCCTGTGTTCACACTAACCTTCAACTAGGCCTTTGAAGTGTATGAGGTTCAAAGCATCTTTGCGAGCCACTTCTGAAAGTACACAAACTATTCTCCTTTAATCACCATAAATTATAAGCAAATATTTCTAAGCATCTCACACTATCCCAAGGAAGACCAAGCCTGGAACAGTATAATTCATCTCTACCCTAATAATTTTCAAAAACAAGCCCTAAAATCAATCTCAGAATGAAGTGCTATTTTCTTCTGGGAGGAAACTAACTACATTCTTCCTTTAAAAAGAACAAGAATTTCTTGAGCAACTCAAAGATATCAGAGATAAAAAAGTTTTCCTAAATGCCAATTCAATCCTCTTAAGCTTAAAAACACAATTAGAAGTGTCACTCAGGTTAAATCAGAGAAGATATAAGTAAATGTTATTTTTTTTAAAAGTACTACACCATAGAACTAATCACTAAGTAAGTGAAAGATGTAGCAAATATTGTGCAATTTTAGAGTGATATTCACTGCAAGAAATATATGTTGGCATAGCTTTGGTTCCCAAAGCTCTTTGCAGTGGTAAAAGGAATCAATTTCTATATATTGGTATATCCCCTCAACAGTTTGCTGTTTATCTGGAACGGATTGTGGTATCTACCTGAGATCACAGTTGCCAGGTAGGTCATGCTCCTAATAATTTGGAAATGAGAGGAGGGGTGAGTGATATCCATGTAGCAGAATATCCTGAAGTTATTAAAATACTTGATTAAGAAGAGTTCCAAACCTAATGATAGTATGTTAAGGTATAAAAAGCAAAATAAAAACATAGAAAATGTGCTGTTGTTAGTAGGTACTTTCATTAAGCGAGGGGAGTGTAGAGAGGTGAGGAACTATTTAGATCTTCCTGAGGTTAGCAGTTAATGAATGATCAAAAATCTGAACAACCACTGTGTTCACAGCAGCATTGTTTACAATAGTCAAGACATGGAAACAAGCTAAATGCCAACTGACAGCGACAGGATAAGGCGCTGTGGTATATATACTAAATAGAATACTACTGAGCTATTTAAAAAGATGAAATCATGTCTTTTGCGACAATATGGACAGGACTTGAAGTGATTATGCTAAGCAAATTAAGTCAGAAAGTGTCAGACCAGATGGTTTCTCTCAGATGTGAAGTATAAATAACCAAAGCAAACTAACAAATTACAACCAAAATAACTCATTGACTCTATTAAAAATATTGTGGTTACAGGGGAAGGGAGATAGAAAGTTAGAGGGGCTCAATCTGATAGTAGGGATGGCATACAATTTTGGTGGGTAGGTTTATACACATAAAAAGGTTGGAAGTTGTACTCCCAAAAGGATACGGTATTGTAAATCAATGAAATTTTATTTTAAACAAGAAGCTGGAAAGCACCATAAAGGATTTTTTAAATACCCAAGTATCAAGGGACCTAATGGTGAAAGACTGTGGTCAGGCAAGCACCTGGGACTTTTAATGTCAGAAAGCACTTCCTGGAAAGAAGTTATGGGTTCTTTTTTAAAGTAAAGAAAAACATAATTAAGTAAAATAATTATTGGTAACAGGGAGCAAGCAATTACCACATTTGTATTTAATATTCTTCTTATTTGGCTCCATATTTCTGTTTTTAATTACACAATATTTAACATGTAGAATATGCAGTTAAATATTTAGGGTGCTTTTTAAATAAACGATTTTTTAAAAAAGATTTATTTATTTATTCATACAGAACTGGGGTGCAGGCCAGAGGTGCAGGGGTGGTGAGAGGATTCACCAGAGACAGAGTGGGGAGCAGAACAGGCAGATCAATGAAATACACTGCTGAGGGGAGCAGAGGTCTCCCTTGCCATGTGGATCACCTCCGGGGCAGGCGGGGATCAACTCATGCGGAAGTGGCTTTAGCTTCTTAGTGCTGTGCTTTAACCCACTGTGCCACCAGGGCGGGCCCAAATGATGTTTTTATAGAAAAACTTAAGTCTACTATATAATCTCTCAGCTCTGTGACACCTAGGTGAACACTGACCAGTCCCATCTCTTTAATGGCTGACAGGGGAATCTCAATGAGTTCATACCTATTTAAAAAAAATGCCTCCTCCTAAATTTGAATAATATCAAATTTGTTGAATTTCAAGGATCACAATTAATAAAAGTAAGAAACCTGGTGTCAAAAACCCCACCAGCAATGATGTATGTATAAACGCCTTAAGTACAGTTCAAAAAGTATCAATCATATGGACCTAAATCTAAATACCAATTTTTTTCAGCTCAACTCTACTTTCCTCAATTTGAATACAGTCTCTCTCCTTATCACTCTTTATTACAAATATATCAAACTCAGGTCTACTTCCATGACGTCAAGTAGACTTTTCTATTTGGAATGCTTCTCTTGTTTCACTCAAAGATTCAGGTTCAACTTTTAAGCCAGTGTTCTCCAAAGTTCTTAATTATCTGACCTTCTATAACTTGTATGAGAAACCCCAAACACATGCTGTCAATATGACATAGAATGCATCTCTATAGAAGGGGGAACTGCACTGTAGCA